GGGTGTGGGTGTGGGTGGGTGTGAGCGTGCAGGGGTGTGTGGGTGTGCGTGAGCGTGCAGGGGTGCATGAGGGCAGCGGTGTTGGGAGGCCGGGCAGAGAGGCCGCCCTAGGGCAGCAGAGCCGGATGGGGTCATGGGGTGGGGGGCGCAAGGCCCCAGTGTGCGGGTGCTGTGCACCCCCCGGGCCCATTTGCCTCTGAGATGTTCCTACTCTACCTGTCAGGGCTGAGGGGGTGGGCCCTGTTTACAAAGCATGCTGGGATGCCCCGTGCCCATGGCGCGGCCGGGCTCCTCTCACTCCGTCTCCTCTGCCAGGTATTTCTTTGCCGTGCTCACCGTCCTGACGGTCTTGGGCCTCCTGAATGGCCTGGTGCTGCTGCCCGTCCTGCTGTCGGTCATCGGACCCCCGGCCGAGGTGAGAGCCCCCAGGGCCCCCCTGCAATGGGGCCTGGCAGGGAGTGGAGACTAGTGCTTGAAGAGGGGCATGGCCACCAGGATGCCTGGGTTCATTCCCAAGTCTGCCTCTCCCTTGCTGGGTGCCAGGGTCAGATGCGGGGAGGGGGAAACAGTGGTCTGTGCCTCACACTGGCTCTGCCCACACCCACAGGCTCTACCCACAAGCCCATGGGAGCTAGATATTTCTTGGAGAATGATCAGTGCTGAGGTTAAAATGACCACCATTAGGTTTCAGAGTTAACGCTCGATTGAGCTGGACCGGGGCACCTGTCCTAAAGCTGCCTCTGCAGGCCTGGAGCCCATTGAGAAGGGCCAGCCCTGGCTCTGATAGTGCCCCCAGCCCGGTTCCCTGTACCCTCTGGGCATCCCGTTGCCTTCCCGTCTCACCCTGCGCCCTCCTCCCCCCAGGTCATCCCGGCGGATAATGGCAGCCGCCTGCCGTCACCAGAGCCCATCCCCCCACCCATCAGCCATCACGGCTTCTACATGCGGCCGCCCCCGGCCTGGCCCGGTGCCTTTGCGGACTCCCTGGACTCGGAGTACTACTCGGAGAGCACCGCGGGCTCGGGGCTGACCCACCCCCAGCCCTACGACCCCGGCGCCTACATCCTGCCGCCCGCCCCGGCCCGTGTCCTGGTGCAGGCCAGCAAGAATCCCAGCTTCCCCACCATCACGGTGAGTGCGGGCACGGTGCCCCTGCCAGACAGCGCCAGCCCCCCTGGGTGCGGCCTCCGGCTGCCCCCTGTTAGCAGCCCCTTTGCCCGCTGGACTCATGGGAGTCTCTGCCCTGCACAGGTGGTGAAAACCTACCAGGAGAACCAGGAGCCACCAGGGAAGAAGGAGCCACCGAGCACCAACCAGACCCAGTCCCTGGCTGCCGGCGACTCCCTCCCATCGGCCGGCCCGGATCTCAGGGACTTGCCTCAGCACAGACTGCCCCGGCCCGGCCCCCCCGGCGCCAGGACTGTCCCGCACCGAGCCCCCCGGCCCCTGCGGACTGCCCTCCCCGCCTACAGCGGCAGCTACACCACAGTGACGGCCACGGCCTCCGTGACGCTGGCCCTGCACCCACCCCTGCCAGGCTCCTTGCAGGGTTACACACATGACAGCTATGAGGACAGCGAGTCCGACTGCCCGGAGGAGCCCGGCCCGCCTGCCTGCAGTGCCCCCGGCTCCGCCGCGCCCGAGACCCTCACGCTCCACCACCGGGGACGGGCAGACGGCTCTGCGAGGCCCTAGGTGAGCCTGGGGACTGAGCCCTGTGCCAGGGGCTCCTTTGCCCCACCCCTGCCAGGCAGTGCCAGCACCCGGCCACCTCTGGGGGTTACCTTGGTGCCAGCACTGCCCCTGGGGGTACACTCCCTGTGCTTGGCGGGTGCTGGCGCCGTGGGGCAATTTGATGACAAAGCAGCGGCTTTGTATGCATCCCTCGTGCCCGCAAACAGTGACACACACAGGGTGCACACCTGCCCACACAGATGGTGCACACTTGCACACGCACAGATGCTGCACATCCACATGTTCCCATGGGGCTCGCACACTCGTGCCCGCAGACAGGGACACGTGCAGGGTGAATGCATGCTGGTGTACACACATACACACACACAGACAGTGCACGTCCACACATACACCTCTACGCTGTCCTCGGGAGCCAAAATCTTACTGCGTTATAGGTGAAACCGAACCTGCTTTGATCCACCGGAGTGCGCAGCCCCGCCCCCCCGCCCCCCCGGAGCACTGCTTTACCGCGTTATATTGTGTTATATCGGGGTAGAGGTGTAGCTAGTGGGCTTGCACGCTCGTGCCCGTAGACAGGGACACACACAGGGTGCACGCATGCCCACACACACGGATGGTGCACACATATATATGCAGGGTGCACACACACACACACACAGTGCACGTTCACACATACCTAGTGGGCTTGCACGCTCGTGCCCGCAGACAGGGACACACACAGGGTGCACGCATGCCCACACACACGGGTGGTGCACACATGTATATGCAGGGTGCACACACACACAGACAGTGCACGTTCACACATACCTAGTGGGCTTGCACGCTCGTGCCAGTAGACAGGGACACGTGCAGGGTGCATGCATGCCCACGCACGTGTGCCATGAAGCGTGTCGACTCCACGGGTGCTCATGGCGTGTGGGAGGCCCCTGTGGACAGATGCCTTGGAGAAGCCAGCGGAGCTGGTAGCCCAGCCGGTGGGCACGGGGGATCTGGCTAACCTGGCGGCCTTGTGTCTCCGCACAGGTTGCCCCGGGAAGCGCCGTGGTTCCTAGCTGACGCCTGCCGTGCCCAGGGAGCGAGCAGAACGGAGAAGAGACGCTGCGAGCGCTGGCACCCTTGCGTGGACGCCAGCTGAACACTGAGCTGGAGCGAGCTGTTGGACTGGTGACCTGCGCCAGGCGCTGCCAGCAGGGGCAGTGCCCACGGGCGGGGGCAGGAACTGCCGCCATCCCTGCATTGTGCTGCTATTCCCCAATGATTAATTATTTTATTTGTATTGCTCTGCGCTGGGACAGAGATCTGCCCTGACCCCGCCTGGCAGCGCCCCCCTGACTCCACAGCAGAAGACGACTGGGCTGGGCTGGGCTGGGCTGGCGGGGGCTGCTGCCCCGGGGGGGGGGAACAGCTGGGCCTTTTGGTGAATCACTGCGTCGAGGTTTCTATGCAAGGTGTGTGTGAACGGGCTGGCCGGGGGAAACCCCCAGGGGCTGCCGAGACACCCCCTGCCCCCCAGCCTGGCCTGGGGTCTCGGTTTGTATCCCCACCCCCTAGTTTCCCCTCCCCCTCCCAGAGCAGGTGTCTTTTCTGCGCCCTAGGAACTGCAGCACGAACGCCGGCCCCTTGTCACTTCGGGGGCAGCTGCGGGCTGGAGGAACGGCCTGGGGAGCCTTGGCAAAGGAGCTAGAAACCCCACCCCCGTTGTGCCCCATAGCCAGTCCCTCTCCCTATGGACCCCAGCTGTCCCCCACTCCGTGTGCCCAGGTCAGGTCCCTGCCCAAGCGGGTGTCCTGGAGCTCTGCACCCTCCAGTGGTGTATGGCGGGCGGGGGGCTCAGCCGATCCCTTGGGCAGGAGCCGGGGCCGTACCCTGCCACCCTGCCCCCAGCTCCGAGTCGGGGGGCTCCCCGGGAGACCAGCTGTGTCTGGGGAGGGGCCCAGCAACCCCCGCCCCCCCGCAGGGGGATGAGATGCCAGCCCCAGTGGGGATGGGAGGGTCGGGGGGCTGAGCTCTGGCCCAGGGGGCACCCTGGACTCACGCGAGAGGCTGGAACGGGGGCCATGTGCCCCCACCCTGGGAGACGGGCACGGTCCCGACCCTAGTCATTGAGAAGGGAAACTCGCGCTTTTCTCACTTTAACACCTAAAGCCTGACACCAGCAGGGCCCAGATCCAGCGAGGCCTAGCGGCTAGAGAACTGGCCCGGGCCTCAGGACCCCTGGCTTCTCCTCCCCGCTCCTTGGGAAAAGCCCTCCCTGCCTCACTTTCCCCATGGGGACAATGCTACCCATCCTCCTTTGTAAACGGCTGTGAGACCGAACTGTGAGGCTCCTCTGGTGCATTTGATGGGTGGGGGAGGAGGGTGTGTCCTGGCAGGAAGGGGGTCAGGGAAAGGAGGGGATCTGGGGCAAATTGGAGGGGGATGTGCCCCCCCCATACAGGCATGTCCAAGGCCTAGGTACCCCCTATGTCTCTCTTACGCTCTTTATGGAGTGCTTTGGTCTGGATGCTGCCTGACAGACATTGATTGGCGGGGGAGGGGTGTATTCCAGATAGCGCCCCCGCCCTCGTGCGGTCACACAACTCCCCTGCATGACCCCACACCCACCTGTGCCGCTGCAGCCAGAGCAGGGAGCCTTTGAGAACCAGGACCCTGGCCTGCCCCCTAGGCTGGGCTTTCCCCCCAGCCGGCCGGGACCCGATCCTGCAGCCGGGGCCGCTCGCCGGAGGCAGGCAGGGATCAGTTGGGCTCCTGGGGGTCTGGTGTGGAGTCGCTGGCGCTTGCCTCTCCGTTCCCTGGCACTTTAACCCCCCCCCCAGCCCAGGGTCCCCATCAGCCCCCGCCTGGGGCTTTCCTTTGGGTTCCTTGCCCAGGGCGGCGAGGGGGGGCCCCGTTCTCAGCGATTGGCCCCTCCTGGGCCAGCGGGTGGGGCTGGTCAGTACCGCGTGGGGCCGGGGTGCCCACTGCCCCGAGCCGCCAAGCGGCAGCCTGCCCCCGGTGCCCCCAAGACACGCAGGGCCCCAGCCCGGCCATGCCATATAAATTATTTATATTACAAAGAAGAAAGGTTTATTTTTGTAGTTTGTACAGGCCCTTAGCCGGGGGCTGGAAGGTTTATTTTTAAAGAGTAAAATATATATTGTCTATCCCGGATCTGCTGGTGTCCTGGCCTCGTGCTTCGTCTGGCCTGGGAGGGAGGGAGCGTGTGTTCACACGCGCGTGCCCGGAGTGGGGGGATCTCTGCAGGCTGGGGGCAGCGTTAGCAAATGCACACGTGTGTGTGGGCACATTGGTGACAGGGCAGTGTGTGCGCCCCATGCATGTGTGGGGCAGTGTGTCCATGGCTGCGTGAAGGCAGGGGAGCGTGCACAAAGCTGGGGGGCCTACTGTGGGGGGCGGGTTATAGAGGACAGTGGGAGCAGTGACAGGGAGGTGGGGGGGGGACGCTGGGGGCCAGGCAGCTCCTTGGAAGGCCACAATGCAGGGTCCTGTCCCCCCCGCCCCACACACACACACACCGGGTAGAGCCCCCCCCCAGCCCTGCGCTTGCAGCTTCACCCACATGGGCAGCACACGGGTGACCGTCGCCGCCTTGTGGCCACAGCGTCTCCGCCAGCGAACAGGGCCGCACCTGGGGCTCCCAGGGCAGAGGCCTGCGGCCCTTGGGGTGGGAGCAGGGTGAGCTGCCCATTTGGCTCACGGCTGGCTGGGGCGTGGGGGTTGGATCTCCCCCCAGTGATGGCTGGCACAGCCTCAGCCGGCCCAGGGCTGTTCACTGGGGGTGGGGGTAGGGGTTCTGGCCCCTTGGGACCTGTGCACGCATGAGGTTCCCCCCACCACCAGCGCTGCCAATGCCACTCATTCCCGACCCGCAGCCTCCTACTACCCCAGCCCTGGATTCATCCTCCTGCCCCCCACCCAGCTCTGCCGGTGCCCCTCACTCCCAACCTGCAGCCCCCTGCTACCAGCCCTGGATTCATCCTCCCCCGCCCCCCAGCTCTGCCGGTGCCCCTCACTCCCGACCCGCAGCCCCCTGCTACCCCAGATGGGCACTACATTAGCCTTTTTCCAGTCATCCGGGACCTCCCCCGATCGCCATGAGTTTTCAAAGAGAATGAGGCGCTGCATTGGTTAGCTGGGCGCTGACCGTTCTTTGGACCCGCAGCATCCGGCTGGCATCTCCTCCTGTGCCACTCACAGCAGCTCACGTGGTGCGGGGAGCCCCTGTGGCACGGCAGGGCCTAAGCCACGCTCAGGGACTAGACAGGCCAGCACTCAGACCAGGTGTCTGCCCAGCTTGCCGGCACGTTCAGCACCAGCTGGCTCGTTAATGGGCACATGCCAACCTAGAGCCAAGCGCAGCCCTTTGGGCCTGGCCCAGCTGGGCGGGCTGCGATTCCTCACCTGCTGAGGGGGGCTGGTGCCGTAAACCCTGCCCGTGTGGGTCACATCAAGGGCATATCACATGCCTTAAAAAAGTCCCTGCCCCCCCCCCCAGCTCTGCCAGTGCCCCTCACTCCCGACCCGCAGCCCACTCACACCAGCCATGTAATTGCTCTTTGCCAGGGAGCTGATGGGATTAGGGTGACCAGACAGCAAGGGTGAAAAATCGGGACAGGGATGCGGGGTAATAGGAGCCTATATAAGAAAAAGACCCAACAATCAGGACAGTCCCTATAGACTCGGGACATCTGGTCACCCTAGATGGGCTTGTAGGTCAAACAGAGGGGGAGCGCGGGGGTTGGGCTCCCCAGCCAGGCATGAACTGTGCTGAGGGGACCTGGGTTGGCCCCTGCCAGGTGAGCGATTCCACGTGCAAACACTGCCCCCTGCAGGCCCTGTGGACACCTGCATGTGGGCCCAGGGGAGCTCACACTGCCTGGGGTGGGGTTACAGGGACTGTTTTAAGGAATGTGATATGCCCTTGATGTGACCCACATGGGCAGGGTTTACGGCACCAGCCCCCCCCCCGCCCCGCCCCCGGCAGGCGAGGAATCGCAGGCCACCCAAAAAGTGAGGGGGGGGGGAGCAGCTCAGCAGGTGGGGGGATGGGGAGGCTGGCATCAGACACAGGCCACGTTGTGAACAGGACGGGGGGGGGGGGGGGGAGGCGCTGAACACCAACTGTGCGAGGAAGCAGCTGTGCAGGTGTATGAAAATATCAGTGATGACCGGCTGAGGCCCCACAAATTCATCACACACTGGGCCCCGCCCAGTGATTGCCCACAGGGCAGACCCGGGAGCCCCAGAAATGCGGGTCAGGCCCATGGTGTGTTCAGTGAGGGGCTGGGGGTGCCAGGCCCCTGTGCAGAGCTGGGAGATCTGCGGGGTGGGGGAGATGCCAAGGCTCCTTTCCCACCACTTTGGTGGCAAGGGGCACATGCAGGGTCATTTCCTGCTGGCTAAGGGCACCGGCTGGCTCAGCCTGGGCCTGGTTCTGGGCCTGGCCATGCAATGAGTTTGGGGCACTCAGCCCTGATAGCTTGGGCAAGATGTTCACGGCACACCCAGCCCGGCCCCAAGGCTGGGGAGAATGAATGTCCCACCAGGCCCAGGAAGGGAGCTAGGAGGCCTGGGCTGCATGTGCCATCACTGAGGGTATGTCTACACTTACCCACTGGTTCGGCGGCAAGCAATCGATCTTCTGGGATCGATTTATCGCGTCTTGTCTGGACGCGATAAATCGAACCCAGAAGTGCTCGCCGTCGACTCCGGTAATCCTGCTCGGCGAGAGGAGTACGCGGAGTCGACGGGGGAGCCTGCCTGCCGAGTGTGGACCGCAGTAAGTTCGAACTAAGGTACGTCGACTTCAGCGACGTTATTCACGTAACCTCTGTGGCTGTGTCACCACCAGGGCGCTCCAGTCAAGAGGCTAGTCAGGCTTCTTCTGTCCGTGTAGGCTACCCACCTCCATGAAAGGCAGGAGCTTGGTGTATGCTGACACCTAAATCACCATCGCTCTGCCCACGTCACCCCAAGGGCATTTAGGGAGATGATGGGTCTAAAGCAATGGAAAAACCTCCTCTACCACAGGACTGACTAGTCTCTGTAACACCAAAATCGGGAGTGTTTCCCAAAAGCCAGATGAAATACAACTTTTGGACAGACCTTTGGGTAAGAAAAGGCCAAGAGAACAGACGAGCAGAAGGGCTGTAGACAGAAGAAAAGACACGAAGCTTTGGAAAACAAGGTGCCAAAATAAAGCAAGAGTAAAAAAGCAAAGAAGAACAAACGAAAGAGCGGTTAATATACAACATAGTAAGAACAGTACTGCAAGCAGCCCATGAAAAGATTTATTTGTCTGTTTTTGACCAATCGCCAGGGGAGAGCGCGAACGCAGTCCCCCACTACCACAAATTATGCAGTCGAGTTTCCCGCATTTGGGGAAATCGCAGGGGTCAGCACACCCGCAGTGCAATGGATGAGCCTCACCCTGGGAAAACCACCTTCGTGATCATGGTATCTCCCCTGCCAGGTAAGTATGAG